GAGGTTAGATTTTAGAATCCCAAAATGAGAAACCCATTCATATCCAACCAGTAAATCTTAATAATTTATATAACCTTTTGTATATACGATGCATATTGTTATATGTTGCTGTAGATTTTAAATCAATCATATACTGATTGTAGATTTATATCTTTATATGAATACACCTATCAATTGCCTTGTGTGCGTAATCATTACAAAATGAATCACCTTACCAAAATTAACATGATGGATAGCTTCATTTGTTTAAAAATAAAACCTTTAGCAATAACACAAAAAGAAAAACGCTAAAAGTGGAAAGGAAAAGGCTGGATAGATTGAAGAGGAAAGCTTGCCAACATGACTATATGCAGATGAAGAAAACTCTTAGTAGATTAATACACATTTATATTTATCATACCCGTTCCATAATGTCCATAAACATTTTTACACCATCAATTTTCGAAGTTATATCTTGTGTGAATAATCGTTACAAAATAAATCTTAGAACATCTTATCAAAATTAATATCACAAATAATGGACTGCTTCATTTGTTTAAAAAGGAAACCTTTGGCAATAAGACGAAACATGAAAACAGAAAATGGGGAAAAAAAATGCTAACTGATCAGGAAAGCTTGCCAATATGAAAATATGAGAAAACCTGCTGTTACTACACATTAAAATTTACCACTCCCATCCCATAATGTCCATAAACTTATATAATAATTAATAATAATTTTTAAATTAATGTATAGTGGAAATAAGCAAATCTAAAAATTCTCCATATAGTCACTTGTTTTAAGAAGATATGAAATTCTGACTATAGAAATTTATTATTGGAAAAGACACAACCAAGATTGTAAATTAACCATAAATTCAGTCTATAGAGGATAAACAAAGAGTTTACATCCTATATAGCCAAAACCTACTTAGGAAAATCTACCTCTTATCATGACTTAACTAGCCTTTTATCTAGTAGAGGATATAAACTATTAGTTTCATTAAACTACTGTATACCATAAGTTTACAAGCAATATAATTTAACAATCACTAATGTATAGGTTATAAACCATACGTTAACTAGCCATTAGGTCGAAATTAGATTACAAAATATAACCAAAAGTTATCAAGAACATATAAACCACTAGTCTAGCTAGACAACAAAAAACATGAATAAACACCTATAAATATAAACTAAATAACGGGATACTATTACTGTAACCTTCTAAAATGTTTGTAGCTGGGAATACAGTATATCAAACTGATGTGGATCATTAGCAGAGAAAAGGCAGATTCATTACAATAATCCTATTGTATTTAATCAGCTTAAACTATACAAATCAGTGGCAGAAATTTCAATAATGATTGAATTAACTCACTTACGCTATGGCCAGTAAATTGCCTAAGAGCCAAAGTTCTGGTAGAGGTCTGGGGAGAGATAACTAAAGTTTCAATCAATCGATGACATGTATATTGCACTAAAAAGGGCAATGAGCTGAGTGGCGCATTCATGACCTACAGCAGATCAACAACTTAAAGCGTATTTAAATTATCAAAAAGTTTCAGAATCTTAAGTTTGAAATTGGAATACAGTATTGCTTAGTTAAAACACAAAAAAAACATAATTTATTTTATAAACGCCTAAATAGGGCCTATATTTAAAAAAATTTCCATTAAAAATTAAAACAAAATTACTTTTTGACAAAACAAGTTTTGAGACAATTTTTGGTTTCAGCAAATTAACCAATTATATGTCTGACAGACGTTTTTGTAGGGGGCATTCTTTTCAAGCCTCTTGGAATATCTGCCACTGATACAAATAACAACTAATTACAGTACTTAACTTTGAAGCTAAATAAAACTGATCTTCCTGAAATTCTTGCTAAATATACATTCTCTAATTGATATATATATATATTTTTACATAAAGCATACTTCATCTAGCAGTGTGTAATATGTTTCCTACTGTATAGTAATGTGTATAGAGTTAGATAGAAAATAATTCAAACCTTCCGTTTCTACTATCTACATTAACATAATTTTACATAATTTAGATTTTCAAAAAGATGTATTACCTAAGAAATTAAACAAATTGTTTGAATCTTTTCTATAGCTGTTTAGAATGATCTCCTAAATGTCGCATGAATACGGAATATACTGGGAAAAAATGTTATTTGCAAACCAAATAATGAGCGGTAATCCACAATTTTTTTTTTGTCGTGTCGGGGCTGGAGAAACAAATGTCATTTCATTTCTTATTCAAATTATTTCATACTTAAGATTCTAGTTGCTGTGTGGGAGGAGTATGCCACTTATGGATCCGTAACTGATTATTGATCAAAAAAATACTTTAAACATTATGTTGGTTTAGAAACTATAAGCATTTCTACTCTCCACCTGCAAAGTAATGAAGATCTGCTCTCCCTGGCAAATAATCGATCTACTTGGAATAATAACGGTATTTGCTAAAATGCTATGCTGTAAAGCGAAAGCGAACTGGTGATTGATAATCAGGTTTTCACCAAATCAAAACTAAATTAAGTTTTCCAGAGTTCTGCAATTTTTTGAGCATGAAATTTATCTTACTGCAGTGATACATTAGGTATCATACAATAACATCTAATTACTTAACTACAATAATATGAATTATATAGGTATTTAATTTGTATGTTATATAAATTGTAATAATAATTCTATCAAAAAATGATTTTATCTTTAATATGAATATTAATTGTATTTAAACAGAGGGTTTTCTATTTAAAATTGATATTAGTTTTGACACAACTGCAGCAATTTGTCCATTGTAACAAAATGTTAATACTATACTTCATAGTGACATTGTGAATAATCCATAGTAGCAATGTGATACTAAGTGGTCCATATAAATGCTATACACAGTTTGTCAGTTAAGTGCAAACTGACATAAACACATTTGAAAACTCTGCTCAAAGTAATTTTCAACAAATTGTATCATTTACATGTACAGTAATGATTATAGATGCAATTAGTGATACAGACTGCAGTAATTCCATGTGTTTTCATTGTAAAAGTTTAAGACAATACTCCATGTATTTGAAAATACACTGGTGAAAATGACGGGCTAGATCGAAATTTTCTTACATCAGACTTCCTTGCACATGCAAGTGTTCTTGTACACGTGTAAGAATATGACAAACTGCACCTTACATAACACAGAGAAAGTTCAAAGATGTTTAGATGGAAAATCATAAAATGTCCCCTAAAGCTGTCATTTTTACAGCTTGCATAATAGAATATATTATGGTACCCTTACGACATCCTATTCTATGTTGCGCTATCTAATGTTGTCTGCTGTAGGAGTTGACGAAAGGTGGGAGGGCACTATTTTCTGTAGTCATATTGATGCGTATATGACATTATAAGGTTTCTAACCATATTAAAAATAATTTGGTCATATGTACATGATTGAATCTGAACTCCAAAGCAGATGTTGAACCTATGCATTTTGACCCTTTGACAGCTATATACTTGCAGGTTTCTTTCTGGAATTTCACAATTTCAAAATATCTAAGTTGCCATATCATACAGGGAACTGCCACTTGGCCCGAAGATGCCTTCTCTGTCCAAACTTAACTCCAACCTTAGTCAGTTTATTAATTGTTGGTGGAAACATATACCAAGGAAAATGTTAAGATACATTTGCATATGCATTAGTTTGTGGGGAAGTGTACACATGATTTCACAAACACACGGCCGTTCTATGGCAAAGCAATGTAACTGTTTTAATATCTTTGTTATGTTGTTTTGCCTTGGAAGGGCCAAACAGTGTGTGAGAGCTACAGTATAGCATGTCATGGCACAACTTCTGAGACCAGCTTTATTTGTGTTGTCATGGTTACTGAACAGAATTTAAATGATAACAGTAATATAAATTATGTATTTTTGAGATATACTGTACTGTACTGTACCATTGTACAGATAGAAAGATCACTTTCACACAGCCCATATTATCTTTCTTATAAATTAATGGTCACCTAATATATCATTAAAATCTAAATAGAGAGTAATTGATAAAACAAAATAATGAAACTATTATGCATAAATATAAGAAATTGAATTACATTAATTTGAGATATGGTAAATTTAGTATGTTGTGCACTGACTTTATGAGCAATTGCACTTCCACTTTGATTTCTATGCGTACCAATTATATTAAATACTGATTATGATATAATATTGTGGATATTGTAATTTCATGAAAGCTAGATCGAATTAACTACTTTTTCAAAGCATATCATCAGTAGCAGCGCCAGTGTGGGTCCAGGGGGGTTACAAGACATCTGTCAGGGAAAACTGCAACTCATTTGGGGAAAAACCCAATCACTTCGTTAGGGTACACTGCTTTGAAAAAGCATATTTACAATCTGAGAGTGCCATGTCCCAGCATCTAGAGATGCATATTCTTAAAATATGCTCACCTTAGCTCCAAATAAGATAGGGCTGAGGTGAGTGTGGACCCCTACTGGGGTGGTAATGATACCACATTCTACATTCTAATACAGTATATCAAATACTGGAAACCTGATTTATTTACAATTTGAAATCTTTTTAAACATAAATTTTAAAATCTTTATAGAGAACATAATAGCTGTTCTTGTATTAGTATTTCATAAACATTGCAGCAATTCCAAATCCAGTTGGACACATTAAATAGAGTCCTTTTCATTTGTTAAACCTACACTTAATCATACCTGAGCAATGATACTAAACTGGTCTTTATCCTAAACCACATATAACCTAGAAACTAAAAGCAAATCAAAAGCCAAATAATACATGTTGAAGTCATACAAAATTTGACATTTCTATAAAACTTTTCATGCAATTAATTACAATCAGATATTATTAAAAAAAAAATTGCAGAATAAAAATGCACTGGAAGAAATGACTTGCAGATGTACTAAGCTGTTTGTTAACTACTTATATACAATACAACAAAATATTCACAAAAATCATGCTACCAAAATTTTAATAACACAAAGTCCTATACTCTCGTACCAGCTGAATTTGCTCGGGGTGCCATTGTCTGAGGTATCGTTTGCACTTTTTTTATACAGTTTAGTTTTTGTAAAATCCACGTTAAAGACATCTTAATAACGACAGAGCCGACCATATACATAGAGTAGACACAGCAGGCACCAGCAATCAGGAAACAAAAACTTCCTAATGATAATAAAGTTGTGTTTCCGTAGTCCTTTTTCTGTATTGTCACTTGGTCTCCCAGTCCTATCGTGCTGAACGCAACAAAGCAGAAGTAAACACTATCAAAATATCCCCATTTTTCGCTATGCATGAACATTGCTGAAGCGGCACCAGCGATCAAACTGGCTGCAGTTACTAGGTAGAGCATTATCCACAATAAAGACGGTTTCCAATTATCAACCTCTTCATCATAATCATCGGGATGTCCGTCACCTACCGGGATGCCCCGTGTCTTACGTCGCTTTTCAACTTTACGACGATGGCAGTCTTTCATTAGAAAGGCCATGAATGTTATGAGTCTCTCCAGGAACAGATTGAAGAACAGAATCATGGCAGCACAACCGGGAACTCCATAGATGATGAGGGCAACCTTTCCAAAATCCGTAGATGGTGTGGTCATTCCAAATCCTGACGGAAAGAAAGAAAAATAGTGGAATAAAGCATACTGAAAAAGGTAAATTATGTCATATGAATAAAAACGAAATAAAAATTGTGATTAATTTATTTTTGTTTTAGCTCAATGTAATTGCATTATCTAACAAATTTGACTCTTGTTATGGAAAGTCAATGCCCCCTTTTCCTTCTGCTTTTATAATAATCAAAATCAATTATTTCATAAAACACCAATGCATTTGTACAGCATATCAACATGTTGTACCTTGGGAGCATGTTTAATATAATGATTGATAACATTTATCTTGGTATCTTTTTTGCAAAACATATCATAAAAACACATTTGCAGCCAAAGGCTGAATTGCAGCATTTTTTTACAAAAGGTGACAAAAAAAAGTAAAAATGATTTGAAACATCAAACATTAATATTCAGTGATAAACAAAAAAAAACAAAAAACTATTAGGACATTAAGAAGGTTTGGCGAGACTTCTTTTACACCTAATTTCGCGAACCAGTCGTCCCCCCCCCCCACCAACATTGATGACCCTGAATAAAAACAAGATTTCACCCTTGGCCAACCAGCGCACCTGTCGCCACGAAAAAACTGGAGATCCCAGAATAAATAAAATAAAAGTTAATTTTCAATTCCACCACGCCCACTGCCACCCCAAAAATAAGACATGCAAACTTCTTCCCAATCAACTAAATTTCAAGTACCCATCCACCACACCGCCTGCATTCAACAGCAACATTCCATTCCCACTTCCCCCTCCCCACATGGAAGTCCCTGGGAAAATTATTGCCAATTTTTTTTTCCCGCTCACCCCCAACGACCACTGCCCCCACCCATAAAAAGTATGTGGGTATCCCACTTTAAGTTTTGTTGAATTTGAAATTCTAAACCTGGTTATACAATGTCTAACTGATGGTTTCGATTTCAATAACCGGGGGGAGGGGGCATAACCTTGCATTCTTGGGGGTTAAGTTTTAATTTTTTATCAATACCCCATTAGTGGAAGCTATTGACAGTCTCTTAGATTTTACTAGTTTTCCTAATAAGCCTAATCCCACCAATAGTTAGATCGTCAACATATTTCCAAATATCAATCCCTGCAGCATTTATAGTGCACAGAAATAATATAATTGGGGTTAGAATTGTACCCTGGGGTACACCATGCAAGAGTGTGACCCAATCTGAGTCAGAGTATTGGTTTTTATACCTAACCCTTTGTTGCCTATTGGAAATAAAATCAACCACCCACTGCAAAATGGGCAGTGACACACATTCTCAAGAGATGATGGAAAGAGGTAGGATGGTCAAAAGAGTCAAATGCTTTGGAGAAGTTGGTCAGCAACAATGTGCTAAAGCTGCCCGACATGTCAATTAATAGGCAGTGGGTGGTCGATATCCCCTTTTGGTTCAATAATGTATAAATGGAATAGTAGCATTTGAGATAAGTCAATCAGTAATCTTAGACAAGGTTGGTGTAAGGGAGATCGGTGTAAATGCATTGATGGGAGGTGGGTTTTTCTTAAGCATTAAGGGGATTACGTTGGCTCATTTCCATGGGTGGTGACAATGCCACAGTTAATGGAACAGTTGATGATATTGGTGACGGGACGACTTATCTCATAGGTACATTGTTTAATAACCATATTTGGTATCCCATCTAATCCACCACATTTACCAAAGCTTAAAAAATAAGCCAAAACTAAAGTGTCATTTAATTATTAAAACATCATGTGATTATTTATATCATTCTATTTTCTGCTGCTTGGTAAAAATCTGGAACAGACTGTGCCAGTCAGGAAGTACTAGACATAATACATTTTTCAGTCAATTATTTTGCACTTAAGTTGTTAAGGTGTTGAAGTATTTGTGTCAGTATGTCCTTCAGGTTAATTTCCAGATGCAGACATCAACGCAGTTGATCTAGAAATCAAAACGACAGCAATTCTGAAACTATGCTTGCATAGCTACGCAAACTACATGTCATGTTTTGAATTACTTGAGCAACACACATATTGTTCGTTAATACAGTACAGTCTTCCTCTTTAAAAGAATGATAGGAATTGAAGCTAGAGATTTTGGTGGGTGTGTGTGGTCTTACTGTGGTAGATGAATCAGTGTTTAGAGAAAATTATAAGAAAATAGCTGGTGTTAATTTGTTAATATGTTCAGAAATAAAATGGAAAATATCAGTGAAAATTTTGGTGACATACATTCTGAGCTTTTCCATACAAGATACCAGGCTATCAATTCGAAGTGGGAGAATGTTATGACAATTAACACAGTATACTGTTATAATATATAAATATAATAAACATTATGATCTGAACAAACATTTTTACTGTATATTGAAATTAAGGTAAACAGACTTCCTTCAAATTCCAGTGTCCATGGTTAAAATCTCTCCAAAAAGAATTTTAGAATTAAAACTTCAACTCCCCAAGTTTAATTTTGAGACTTATTAATAATGCAGCGCACGTATACACTTCATTAGTGCTCAAGGCGCTAAAGAAGAAAGGTCATAGTCGTAAGTTTAGCGCATCTGTTTCCCTGTGAATGCAACCTGTGAACAATGGTGTGTATAATTTAGCATAATTACACATTGAATAATAATAATAACTCAAACACTTTTCACGGCATGTAAAGTCTTGATCACTGTCATATCATGGACACTGAAATACTACTGCAAATTTATACATTTCATTACAAAACTGACTCTTAATACACAATAAGAAAAACAACATGGTAGTACAGTAACCCCGTTATAGGACATTGTACAAAAGCAAGTGTAATTATCAGGCTCATAACCAGGAGGTTTTTATGGATTGGCTAAACCTCATTTATTAGTTAACACTGCTTTGATTTAAAGCAAATTTCAAAAATAGCCAAAATTATGAATTTAACCAATTTACACAAGATCTCTTCTCTGGATCTCTGGATGCTTTCTCTGGAGCCAAGGGTGCTTTCCCTGGATCCCTGGGTGCTAAATGAGTCTTTACCTCTTGTCCTCACATGCAACCCCTGAGGGAAATCTCTCATGACAATCAGTGGACTATCAGCCTATGAGATTTCTCTTTTCCAAACAGAAGCTGATGTCATTCTACCTAACACGAGCAGACATCTTCTCTCCTTAGAATAGGGTGCTTTAACAAACAGCTTGATTGAATTCCTCTATAATATCAAAAGGTAACTGTGATCAACTGTTTGCAGTTATACTTCATGACTTTAAAGAGATGAATACGAGGCAGTCACAGATCATGCTGCTCAAACAGAAGGTTAGATTTATTAGTGTTAACTTAAAGGAGAAGTGCAGAGAGTTATACCCACTTTCATACTTCAGTATTTTCACAGCAGCTGCTATACGGTAGGCAGAGATTTAATTATATCTCTTTTAGATAATTGAATTTTTAGTTCTCACTTTGAGCAAGTTAATGGTTTTTGTGGAAACCTTTCATTCTGAACTTTAGTGACATTCGTGGTACTATTGTTCATTAAATTTAAAAGTCTATTGCATATATTATTTGATTATTAGAAATGAATAAAGTTGTTTATTATTATTATTATTATTATTATTTATCATCTGCCCAGATTCACCCAGCTGTCTAGTCTTTCATTGAAATTATGATTAGATCATGTATTAAAATCATATTAGACACTAGAGGTATTAAAACTACATACAAGCCTGTGAAAAATAAAATTTTACTTGAACTAAATATACATTAGATTATTTACAAATTAGAATATTTTATTCCTGCATTTCTCCATTTTTCAAAGATGTTAGGAAATATTTAAAGAAACAAAATAAACTCTGCATCTCCCTTTAAGTGTACGAGCAGACAAGAAATATAGGTCTTCCCAGGTAGCATTGCAAATCTAATAACTTCAATGAAACATCAGCTGATGACTTGTCTCCTTTTATTACATAACATCAACAACATTCAATAGTCTCTTTCGTCTCTTCTAACAACATGCAGAGATATAACATCCATCAAACGATGTCTTTCCACATTACTATTTAATGAATGCAGCAACCAGGAATGATAAATTCTCTAATAAATGATGCATAATAATTATAGAAAATAGAAAACAATAGCCATTAGGATGACAATTTCTGAAGGAGACATTGTTTTTCACTGTGAACATATATATATGT